AGGGGGGTTAGGGGGGTTGGGGGGAGGTACCAGAGCCTGTTTTTCCTCCCAGCACTGGGATTAATGACGGGAGGGGCGAGACCTCAGTGCTGGTGATTATTTTTTTAACCTTTGCAGTCAGAGACTCAAAGCCGAAGCTGTCCCCACCAGGCCTGGCCAGCGAGGCCACACAGAGGTCTGACCCCCTGGATGCCTGGCTGCTGGGCCGCCCCAAACCACAGGGTCATGGGGATGCATCCAACTGCACATCTGGACTTTTCGACTTGGTCCTGGCTTCCAGTTGGAGCAAGAGGGCCTGGGATGGGGAAAATGTGGGCCCCACCTACACGCACAAAGATTGGGGGTTAAGGGGTTGGCACATACCCCGTGCCTGTCTCTCCCCGTAAGACCCGTCCAGGCCCAGACGTCAAAGGCCTCTCCTTGCCCACAAGGCCCACAGTTCCATCTGGAGAGGGCCCAGCCTGGCCTAGACACGTGTGCCCAACCAGACTGGAGCTCAGGCCAAGGCGGGGCTGTTGGTCCCCAACGTCACCTCTCTAAGGCATTCTGTCTTAGGCAACTGCCCCACCATCCACTCAGGGCTGGGCCTGAGACCTGGCAAGTGCCTGAGACTCCTCCCTGCCCCCCATATCCAGTACGTCAGCAGCTTTTGCTCTCTCAGCCTCCAAAACATGCAAGTCCAAACACTCCTCCCTTCTGTGCAGCCCTGCCCTGCCAGCTCCTGCCTAGATCCTGCCCCAGCCTCTTCCCCGCGGCAGCCATAGGGGAGGTCTCAAAATCATAAATCAGATTGTTTTTATCTCCAGCTAACACACCCTCAATGGCTCCCTATTACTTCCAGAATAAAACCTATCTCCTCCCTGTGGCCTGCAAGGCCCCACATGATCTGACCTTAGCCTGTTCCCCGACCTGTCTCCTCCTCCTTTGCTCACTGTGCTCCAGTCACACCAGTCTCCTCGCTATTCCTCCAACAGCCAAACCCTTTTCCTACCTCAGGGCCTTTGCATGAACCATCCTTCTGTCCGGAATGCTCATCCTCCATATTTACATGATACTTTCCTGTTCTTTGGGTCTCAGCCTAAAGATCATTGCCTCAGGAGGGCCCTCCAACCCCTGAGCAAAAATACCTCCACCGAACTTTCTTCCAAACACACTCTTCACTCTTTGAAATTATATTCTTTGTATTTTCATATAAGTACAAATTGTATTTTAGCCCCAATGCTTACCATCATGCCCAGCATATACTAGGTGGAGTTGTGTCTTCTTGGGGATGAAGGGACATACCAGCCCAATGCCAAAATCTGAGAAACATCTATCCCTCTGAGACCCCCCTGAGTGCCCCAGCAACACCCCAGGATTTATAACCCAGAGCTTTGCTGTCGATACATGCTAGGGTGGTTGGAACTGGGGGGGAGGGGCTCACAGGCAACTATGGGTGCTCAGGGTTCGGGGAGCAGCATGGGCGAAAGCCTGGAGGTGATGGAGAACAAGGCAGCATTCCTGGAACTGGGTGTGGTGGGGCCCAGCTCATGTAGGGTGAGGGGAGACAGGCACTGGAGTCTGACTCCATCCTGGGACGATGGGGAGCCATGTGAGCAGAGGGCGCATCAGACCTGTATCCCATCACCCTGTGCCAGGCACTGGGAGGTTTCCTCCCCAGACCGCAGCAGCCTGTGGATTCAACACGCTTATGCTGGCTAGGAACATCTCGAAGCAGCTTTATACAAATTTCTGTGGAGTGGACCGCGAGGCCACCCTCCATCCCTGCCACCACAGGGCTCAGGGAGGTCCATCGTCTGTAGGAGGCTCCCAGATCCATATAACATGCTGACAGCCACCTGGCCCTCCTGGGGCCCCTCGGTCTCCCTCAGAACATCCAGGTCACCCCAAGACCCTGGGCCTGGCCACCCCGTCCTGGTCCTTGGTGGATGCCAAGACCTCTCTCCTTATTCCCCTGGAATTTTCCTTACTGGTCCTGCCAATGTCTCCAGGAACATATAAAGGAAAATGTTTCCTGTCCAAGCAGGGCTGTTTTATGGCTCTCGGGGGCCGGGAGTCTCACTGCAGAGTAGAAAGGCCTCGACATATGGCTGTTCCTCCTGTAGAGCCACTCGGACCTGGCCCACCCTCCTAGGAGTCTCAAGTTCTGCAGGGACTTTCTAGCTAATCAAAGTCCCCTCGACCCCATCCCCAGACTGGGGAGAAATCCCCTGGAAACATAGATGCTTGGGCTAGAGCACAAAGCTGATGCATTTCCCATCATTTATTCACTCAACAAACACTTGCTGCGCTCCCACCATGAGCAGGTTTCTGTGTCAGCTGCTGGAGACACAGTGAGATCGAGTGGGATCCATCATGCCCTTGGATGGGATCAGGATCGGGTGGGTGGGGGATCCACCTTATCCCCATGTCACAGGGCTGAAAACGGAGGCCGGGGAATATGGCAGCCTGCCCGAGAGCGTGCAGGGACAGGCAGAACGGTTCCAAAGCAGGTTTTCTTTTTTCTAACAGATCGGAAATTCACATAATGTATAATTCACCGTTTTACAATGAACAATTCAGTGGCATTTAGTACATTCACAATGTTGTGCAACCAGCACCTCTATCTAGTTCCGGAACATTTCCATCACCTCAAAAGGAGACCCCGTCCCCATTAACAGTAACTCTCCATCCCCCAGCCCCTGACAGCCACCAGTCTGCTTTCTGTCTCTATGGATTTGCCTGTTCTGGACATTTCATATAAATGGGATCATGTGATATGTGATCTTTTGTGTATAGTTTCTTTCGCTGAACATAATATTTTCAAGGTTATCCTCTTTATTTTTTATTCATTTTTACTTTATTTGCTGAAATACTTGAAAGCAATCCTAGGCCTCAAGTCATTTCACTATTTCTTTGCTACTTACATAGCTCCAAAACCACGGGGATTTTCATATATAACCACAATGCATATCCCATATTCCAACTTTCCCAGCTGTCTCAAAAGTTGACTTTTTACAGTCAGTATGTTAGAATCAGGTTCCAAATGAAGCCCCCATTTGGTTGTCATGTCCCTTAATTTTCTCTTTATTCCCTCTTTTTTAAAATTGTGGTAAAATAACATAAAATTTACTATCTTAACCCTTTTAAGTGCACAGTTTGGGGGCATTAAATACATCCCGCAATCCATCTCCAGAACTTCCCACCTTCCCAAACTGTACCCATTAAACACTACATCACCCCCCCCCACCCCCAGCACTCACCATTCTACTTTTTTTCTATGAACTTGACTCCTCCCCTAGGGACCTCATATAAGTGGAATCACACATTATTTGTCCTTTTATGACTGGCTTATTTCACTTAGTATAATGTCCTCAAGGTTCATCCATGTTGTAGTAGGTGTCAGAATTTCCTTCCTTTTTAAGGCTGAATAATATTCCACTGCATAGATTTACCACATTTTTTTTAAGCTGAGCCATCCTGCCACCTGTTGGCAGCTCAGCGGAAGCTCAGCTAGGGCCAGACTCGAACCACTCTTGCTCAGAGCTCAAACCCTTGAGCGAGCTCTTAACCAATGGAGCCACTCGGCCGGCCCAGATTTACCACATTTTGTTTACCTAGTCATGCTGTCAGTGGACACTTACTATGCTGTTTCAATATTTTAGCTATTGTGAATGATCCTGCTGTGAACATGTGTGTGCAATCATCTGATTGAGTCCCTGCTTTCAATTCTTTTTGAAGGTGTTTAATCCAGGGACCAGAATGTAAGACCAGGTGAGCTGGAACACATTGAGTTGGGGGTCACTTTCTCAGGACATGGGATTTAACATCCAGCAAAGACTCCAGGAGATGATGGTGCAGCTGGTTAGAAGCCTGGCAAAAGTGCCAAGCCAGACTGAGCAGAGTGGAAATGCTCAGGTGAGCTGTCCTGGCAGAAGCAGAGAGCAGTGGACATGCTGGAGTGCATGTGGAAACTCCCCATGGGATTGTGTCCCACGGGAGGGCCCACAGGACACACCAGTTCCCAAGGTATTCAGAGAGCAGTGCCACCACCAGGAGGGAGCTGGGTAGCGGCTTCCTCTTCAGGCCTTCACAGAGCTGGGCTTATCAATGTCTATGGTTGTGATGCCCTAAGTACTGGAGGCTGGGTGTGTACTTCACCACCAAGAGCCAGAGCCTTCATTTATGCTAAGACAATGTGATGGTGAGATGTAGGTAGTGGCCATGGTAACATCCACAACCAAATGACCCTAAGTAATCACAGTGGACCTTACTAATCAGCTGAAAGGCCTTAAGAGTAAAACTGAGGTTTCCCTGAGGAGGAAGAAACTCCATCTTGTCAAAGATAAACAAAGCTGGACACTAGTTAAAGTGATCAGGATAGATTTTAATCGGTAACATATTATGGCAATAAGGAAAAGGGTAAGTGTGGAGTGAAAGCAACTTCAATTGAGCATTTTAACAAGAGAATAAGGGAGGGGTAACCAGTTAGCTCAGTTGGTTAGAGCACAGTGCTCATGATACCAAGGTTGCTGGTTCAATCCCTACATGGGCCACTGAGTTGCGCCCTCTACAACTAGATTGAAACAACTATGTGACTTGGAGCTGATGGGTCCTGGAAAAACACACTGTTCCCAATAAAAAAATATATTAAAAAAAAGAGGGCCGGATGAGTGGCTCGTTGGTTAAGAGTTGGCTTGGGAGCGCTAGCTCTGAGCAGCAGGGCCCTGGTTTGGATCCCACATATGAGGACCAGTGACACTGCTCTCTACAGCTAAGATGCTGAACAACAGCTCAACCTGGAGCTGGGCTGCCGTTAGTCGCCGGAGGTGGGCGTAGGCTGCAGCCCCTGCATCAGTGGGTTGCCATGGGCTACCATGTGTAGCCAGCAGCCAGCGTGAGCGGCCAGCAGCCACTGTGAGCCAGAAGCCGGCGACTGATTTGCCTCACCCGGGAAGAGTGCAATGATGGTGCCAACTTGGGCCAGTGAAGCAACGTCCTCCACAACTAGACTGAAGAACAAAAGGACAGCAACTTGTCTGTTCCCCTTCCCCCAATTCCCCAGCACTGTTCCAATCCCCCAATTCCCCAATAAAAAAATCTAAAAAAAAATGGTTGAAATTCGGGCCAGCCGAGTGCCTCAGTTGGTTAAGAGTTAGCTTCAGAGTGCGAGCTCTGAGCAACAGGGTCACCAGTTCAATTTCCACATGGGCCAGTGATGCTGGGCCCAAGCTGAGCTGCGGCTGAACTGCCAACAGGTGGCAGGATGGCTCATGTGGTGAGAGCACATGCTCCTAACAACAAGACTGCTTGTTCGATGGTGGGCTATGGCCACCTGCAACTAAGACTGAACTCGGCACCTTGAGTTTAGCTGCCACCTGGATTGCTCAGTGGATAGAGCATGTGCTCTTAACAACAATGCTGCTGGTTCGACTCCCGCATGGGATGGTGGCTACGCCCATCCACAACTAAGATCAAATGCATCACCTTGACCTTAGAGGCCACGAGCTGCCGTAGGGCAGCCAGATGGCGACTGGTGCCCTCCACAACTAAGATTGAAGGACAACAACTTGGCTTCCTCAATTCCCCAACACTGTTCCCCTTCCCCAATCCCCCAATTAAAAAAAAATTATTTAAAAAAATGGTTAAGGGTCGGCCGAGTGGCGCGTTGGTTAAGAGCTGGCTTGGGACGCCGGCTCTGAGCAGCAGGGCCCGGGTTTGGAGCCCACATGAAGACACTCCCTCTACAGCTAAAATGGTGAACAACAGCTCGACCTGGAGCTGGGCTGCCATGAGTCGCCGGTGACGGCGTAGGCTGCAGTGAAGCTACAGTGGGTTGCCATAAGCTACCATGTGTGGCTTGCAGCCAGTGTGAGCAGCTGGCAGCCAATGTGAGCTGCCAAGAGCCGCTGTGAGCAGCCGTCCAGAGGCCGGTGACAGATCTGCCTCACCTGGAAAGAGCGCAATGATGATACCAACAGGGCCAGTGAAGCAACGTCCTCCACAACTAGACTGAAGAACAAAACGACAGAAACTTGTCTGTTCCCCTTCCCCCAATTCCCCAGCGCTGTTCCCCTCCCCCAATTCCCCAATTTAAAAAAAAAAAGGTTAAAATGGGAAATTTTATTTTACCACAATGAAAAAACCAAGTTAACAAAAATATAGGATATCTAGTTGAATTTGAATTCAGATAAATAATAAATAATTTTTAGGGTAAGTATATCCCAAATATTACTTGGCTTACACTTATCCTGAAATCTTACTTGCCACTTCACATGACAAGTCATCAGGGAAATGCAAATCAAAAGCACAAGGAGAGATCACCTCACACCCATTAGGATGGATACTATAAAAAAAAATAGAAAACAACAAATGCTGGTGAGGACATGGAGCTATTAGAACCCTTGTGCACTGCTGGTGGGAATGTAAAATGGTGCAGCCACTGTGGAAAACAGTATGTAGGTTCCTCAAAATATTGAAAATAGAACTACCATGTGATCCAGCAGTTTCACTTCTGGGTAGATCCCCAAAAGAATTGAAAGCAGGGTCTCAAAGAATATTTGTACACCAAATGTTCATAGCAGCATCATTTGCAATGGCCAAAAGGTAGAAGCAACCCATGTAACTATGAGCTGTCACTCCCCATTCCCCCTTCCCAACCCCTGGCAACCACTAGTCTACTTTATGTCCCTATGGATTTGCCTGTTCTGGACATTTCATAGCAATGGAATCATATAACATGTGACTTTCATGCCTGGCTTCTCTCGCTCAGCATGATGTTTTCAAGGTTCATCCAGGTTGTAGTGTATGTCTGTGCTTCACCCCTTCTTATGGATGAGTAATATTCTATTGTGTGGATGGACACATTTTGTTTATCCATTCACCTGTTGATGGGAATTTGGGTTGTTTCCACCTTTTGGTGATGATAAAGTGAACTGGCATCATAAGATGCTTAACCCTAGAGTTGGGAGGATTATGGGTGGAGCTGGGCCCCTTGTTAACCCTATAATCCTGACTTCCTGTTCATCCTTATGGTAATTCTGGGGGTGGGATCATAATAAAGGGATTAGTCGTCTTGAAACTGGGGTCTTTTTACCTCCACCTGGGCTGCCGGTGAGCTCCATGTAGGAGGTGTGCTTTCCACTTTGCGGTGGTGGTCTTGCTTCTTTTTATTTTCCCGAATACACCGTTTCTTTTGTGGATTACTGGATTACTTGGAGAGTTATTTTTCACCAGTTCAACATTTTGGGGGCTTGTCTGGGATCCAGAGAGCAATGCAATTCGGGCAGCCTTTTAGCTGGTGAGCAAATCAAGGTGCCTATACTGAGCCATTTATTTCTCCAGTGCTTTGCTACTCAGCTTGAGGGCTGCAGGGTAAGTTTCTCTCCTGGATCTGAACCAATGGGCCTTTGCGTCTGGTGCTCTCCAGGTTTTATTCGGGAATTAAAAAAAAATGTTTCTGTTCTGTTTTAATTTGTTTGTTTGTTTTGTTTGGTGTGTGTGTGTGTGTGTGTGTGTGTGTGCTTTAAGGCCTATTTGTTTGTCTGTACTCATGGCACGTTGCCTTGCTTTCTTCGGAAAGCAGGCTCTGTTTCTTCTTGAGACAAAAACTGGCCTTCACCTAACGTCCCTTTGGGATAAGAGGTTATTTCTATTGAAATTGTTCAGTTTAGCTGATGTTAGATCGTGCTGTCTCAGTGAAAAGTTAACGGAATGCTATGCAGCTCAGTCAATAACCGAACTCCCTGAGAGTTGTTTATT